ATGGCTTGGGCATGTGTTGTAAATGCCTCCAGAAAGGAAGGCTAAGCAACTGTTCCTTGCAAATCCGACCCTCAGAAGGCCAAGGGGACGGCCAAGATTAACCTGTCGCAAATATATGGAAGGAGTCTGTCCCAGACTCTATTTGCCTTTGCTCGAAACTCAGACTCTGGCGTAGGGTCGGGAACGTTGGAAGCTCTCTCTGACGTGTCTGCCTCCTGGACCCGAAAGAAGAAGCGGCGTTGAAAAATGAAGATGTGTTGCAGATAATAGGATATTTTTCTTATGTTCGCTGACGCGGTAGAGCCATGGTCTGATCATCGGATCTACAGTACTTAAACGTCAAGTTTAATGCGGTATTTCGTGAAACTTATGTTGCAGGCTTTCATCAATGAGGGATCGCAGTTTGGTTGTTTCTGCTCGCTTTTGTGTAAAACCGGCGATTTTGTCACTTTATTTAGTAAATGTAATCTTTTAGTTATGCCGCTTTCTTAGCATTATGTTGTCAATCGCCTCCAAGAGAAACATCGATACGAGTTTCGTGGTTGCGGAGTCCAGAAATTAAAAGCATCTGAAAGCCAATTCTTTTAAGCAAGACAGCGGTAAGCGACGACAAACAAATTTCTTAAGCGAACGAGTTAATGGCATCAGAGTTAAAAATCCCGATTGTTTTCTAAAATATCTAAAGAACCAGCTACAGTGCATGAATGAAAACTAGAAACAATGTCTCTGATCCTTGTGGAACTCCACTTCAAGGTTCAACGTACCGATGTCAATCGTTGTTGGGCGCTTATCGCCAGAAGCGATGTAAGAAGAGGGAATTTTCATTTTCAAAAGTCGTCGGCAAATCTTACGGCAGTTGCATCTATGATAGATTTTCAGAAACGGATCGATGGTTGTTGCTTCGCTTGTTTGTCCTTGCAATATGAACCTTCCATCAGAATTGGTTTTGGTCTCTGACATTAGGTCGTCAACGCCAATATCTACAAACAGTTTTAAAAGGTTGAGCAGCAAAAGTAGAATTGTTAATTAAAGCATTTTGGTTAAATTCGATCGACAACTTTTTAAGAATTGTTGTTTGAATGGTACTTTCTCTCGAAAGCAAATAAAGGTTTATTCATGAGATGATATTTATATGCACATGCTGATAAACAGATTAACAATGAAATTTTAATGATAAAGCTTAGAAATAAAATGACACTTCATGTGTGGGTACCATGCGTTTCATCTACAGGAAATTCGAAACGGCGCTGATTGGATGACATTAGCAAGTGAACATAATTCGTAAAAGCTGGATGCGTATATGAGAAGAAGTTCATGAAGAATTCATAGACCTAGAAAAGTGACATGAGGTCGTTCACTACGTAGCTTATCCAGTAAACAAAGATTGAAACCGCTCTGTGTCGCATGGTGCAAATAAAAGAGAATGCTATATGTTTACTTTTCACAGTGCCATTAGAAAATCATGTGAACTCATCATTATCTTATTTATTATCATTGGTTGATCAGTTGTCTTTCATTATGAATTTATTCGTTCATTCTTGTTTGACTTATTTCACATTTACTATCAATTGTTTTCCACTACTAGGCAGGAAAATACTATTATCTTGCCTTGCAGTGTTTTGCAACATGCTTGTTTTCATTTTTTCTCATTTCGGAGATATACTGTCGTTAAACTCACAACTTGCAATTCCAGCCATGGCGTCTTCCGTTCATGTTGAGGACGAGTGGTACATTGAAGATGAATTCGGCTCTGCACTTTGGAGGTGCAATGTTCACAGCCCAGCGCGGCGTAAATTTTCTTATCGACTGTTAAATTCTGTGATCAGTGAATCCACTCCGACATGCTTGGTTAACATCAGCATAAAACGAATAGCAGGTTTCTGTCTGTTAACAAGAGGGACAGAAAAAAGTGGCCATGACAAAGCATGCGAGAGGCACGGGCAAACTGCCCAATGCGTGCTCCTTAACGCAGAAAGTCGTTATGACACGGTTGATGACTGCTGGCTGCCTAAAAATCAGCACGAAGTGCGGCCCGTAGCATTGTAGAGAATCTAACACATGTTTTGTGCGGGAGCCGTTACGCAAATTAACTTTGACCTCGAACGATAGCGAATCAGAACAGCCACCTACTGTTGGGTAGTCTGCTCGAACAGGCTGCCTGTTATACCTCCGACAGACCTTTCCCAAAGATTACACGCTCTGTGAAAATGTTTCGACCATGGCTCTGTAGTCAAATGTTGCATTTCCACGGAATCGACCATGTCAGTTACAGGAGGAAGGTGATTGGTCGAGTTCTGCGACAGTTGAGACTGTTGATACGACCATAACTATTTAAGCCGTCTCCAATAATGTTGCGGATTGCTGCTTTAGGCAATATATGATTTCAGTAATTCTGGACACAGTTCTGCTAATATAATTGTTACATAAAGTCAAATCATCATTAACTTTATTCCGTTACTTTCGGCGTTGAAATACGTGTCATTTAACTGATTCAAACATGTGCAGAGGAATAAGTGAGCGTTGCATTGTTTCAAGGTTACATACTTCTCCCAAGCAAGTAAATGTGTAAAAACCGTATCATGAGCTTTGAACACTATTAAGGATATAGTAGCTAGTGCTTTTGAGTTCTTTATACCCTGTTTCTTTCATCTTTCATGTGTTTTTAATGCAGTTCTGTTTGAAAAAAGAAAAGAACAATCAGATTACAAAACTGGTTGAAAAATTTGACGGTTGTATCTGCAGTAGCGCCCAACGGAACCATGGTGAAATTATCTAATGATGCTATCTACCATGCGAACGGACGACGATGAAACTCGTGAGTTAGGTGGCAGAAGATCTGAACGATTGCATTTAAATTATAAATAAAACATAATAATGGTAACATTCTTCGCATCATATGAACTCTCAAATTCTGATAAATTCGTATGAAACTTATGCATTCATATTTTAGAATGATTGTGTCATATGCCGTTGATAAAATTGTTTTGAATCTTCAAATTTAACTGTAGTTTTTCTTTACAGGAACTTCAGCAATCACGCATCTCTGTATTTTAAACACACCCTCTTCGTATTGTTCGCGATCTGCGATATTGCTATATGGCGCCGTATTCGGCAAAAAATAGACTTTACAAAATAAAAATTTTCTTCAGTTACAAACGTTTTTCAAATTGATTAACTGCATTAGTTTAAAGGGAGCAACCCTAATTATTTGAAATTAACTTCGCTAGGAGATTTGAAAACTTTTTTAACCGCCTTTTGTACTGACCTTTGTAAGCGAACTTGATCATAAGTTGGCAATAGGAAAACACTTTCACCATCGGGTTTCTTCATGGAGTATCGATAATGTTTACCAAAGCCAGATATCCATCGTTTTCTTAAAATCGATCAAATTAACCTATGTATCATAAACGGCCTGCGTGAATTTCATAAATGAATATTAATGAATGCCATACACAGAATTTGTCATCAGTTTATTAGATGATCCTTGATCTAGAACGTCAAGGAATATCATGGAAACAATGATAGAACAATAGATAACGGGATTCACTATGCCAAATGAAGACCTCGGCGTATTCCCGGCAGTTCACCATCTTTGATTTTACATTTCCAGGAAACAGCATTTAACCATAGACGATGTGCTCAATTATTTCATAGTGAGAAAATTAAAGAATCAACAGCTTGCAACTGCAGTGTACCTCACGAGATAAGCTTACATACCATCACTAAGTGTACCAAACAGCTTTTTTTAAAGGAACATCCAGTTCGTCCATTCCGCTATACCTCAAGCTATTGAATAGACAACCATGCTGGACATAAGTATCTAATTCAAACCAACGGGAGACTGATTCTGCTAAGACTCAATACAAAAGAAGACGAAGTACAAAGATCATATATTCGATATGCTGTCTACATCTGTTTTCTAAAAACAAATAACAATCGCTTAAGCTACCTTGATCAATGAGCTTGATATCAATATTTTTCGCAGGAACATTTCCGCACATGAGACGCCCTTTGGCCGACACCCTCTGTAACTTTCCTTGTACAAACACGATTGAAACGATGCACACGAAGCACGCAAGAATCGCTTTCATTTTTAGTTGGCAATACAAACGGATTTCTTGAAAAGCAGTAGTTAACTCGTAGCTTGTAACATCCTACCAGCTGCCTGCAATGGAGTGATATCAATCCTCGCAAGATGTGACATGATAGCAAAGTAGTAGTGGTGGTACGAACATCATCGCGTTCGTTTTTTATTTGTCTGCTAACTTAAATAATGCAGTCAAGACGTTTCGAAACAGCCTCACGATGGCCCATGATTGATGTACGAATCCTTGCAGTTTTTATTCTGCACCAATTTACCTTTCATACATTATTTCGACTAGACCTGCAATTTGTTCGCCAGTTGTGTGTTTTACAAGTTTCCGAAAGTAATCATGAAACTTTACCGTAAATGAACTAACAAGAGCAATGCACATATCTTGTTTACAAAGGCGTTGTTCTTTTAAATGCAGTTCAATTAGTCACAGCCCACTTTACCGGTGGATAAATTTTCGCATTTTCATGGGACTCCTATCACACTGTCAGAATTTACTGATATATCAGATTTCCAACTTATTTTGTAGACAGTCCATATATTTGAGGCTAACATCGTAACTTGACGACAAACTCAACAGCTTTGACCCCGGCTTAACAAGGAAAAAGAATCATGACCGAATCGTTGCATTTTTGATTCATGTTCTACGTGTTCGTTAGGCCATCGACACACTGTGCAGCTATTTAAAGCCGAATCATTCACAACCAGAATATATGAAGCTGTCAGTCTTTTGGTATCGACGCTTCAGGGGTCATCAGGTTTATTCGCTATCGCATGGAAAGTCCAACATTCATCTTCTGTTGTCCGCTTTGGATGTACAGTATGACGATCATAACCCTGCATGTGAAGGCAATAAGGGCAAAAGACAAAAATTTAGGCGGTATTTAGTACGGACTTTAATTGCAGTTACAATATCCTACCGTTACGCATGATCGTATAACTGTGTGGCAGGATTAACACCCATGGTACGCAACTTTGATCGTCTTCAAAGCTGTCTGACGCAGTACATCAGTGATGATGCAGAAGATCTTGTGACATTATGGTACATTGTCTGATCGAGTGATCATATTTGAGAACAGCACCCTGGCTCTGTCGGTGCTGAAGAAACGAAACGCAAATTATGTCACCGGTTTGAAATCAGAAATAACTTGACACAAGACAACGACCTTCCGTCAATGCTTTTTGGTCTTGTTGTAGACTAGCTAATGAGGCAAATCGTTGACAATCACAATCGATAAAGACTGTTGTTTTGCGGAAAACGGATATCAAATTATCCTGCCACATGCCGCATGGATCTGGATAACACAAAGGACATTGTACTACCCACCGGTTTTGGTGGTGGACCACCGCTACTAACGTAGATGGATCAAATAATCGTTTAAAGAACAGGCCTTCAATTCAATCGGGAGTAAGCGAAAATGGTGAGTGCAGAAAGAAGAGATACAGAAGACGAAAACAAAAAGACAAATAGCATTATGCAATGGCAAACGGTTTAAGCAAACCCGGATTTTCCTCATTTGCTTTGTATATAAATAAATGACTGGCGATCACAAGCAAACTTACTTGGCGGAAAGCGGCATTGATCATCTAGAATGCTTCTCCGGGTTGAGGCTTGCGCATTGTACGTCGCGTTAGCTAATTCCTGATGTCAACCCAAACTGGGCTGAGCATTCCGTGCAATTTTTGAGTGTGGGGATTTGCGTTCGCGCTTTCCCTGTTGTTTCATACAAATAGGTTTTCTCAGCAGGTAAGAAAGAAATTTTCATCTTAATTCCTATACGGTGTGTGACGCCACAACGGGAGGTGAGCGAAGCAAATAACTAATCACGCTCAGGGCATATTTTAGTGCTCGCCCGAATATATTTTTAATGCCCCCGTCCATTTGATTCTAATATTTATTTCAATAAACCATGTGAAATTCGAATGTATGTGAGTTTAAACCAGGGCTTCGTTCCGCTTGTAAATTTTTCAGGCGAAAAACCATGTACTTTAATAGCATCTCATATTAATACTTTGAGCTTGAACAGGCACGGAGGCTCATAGACAATGTAAGAATTTTACTCTGCCCTAGCTGTTTGATCGTATGCCGTTTATTTCATGAATTATAACCGTTTCTTTTAGGCATTATTTTTTCCTTAAAATCCTTTCGCTACGAGACATCGTGCATAATTAACATATTTTCCGCCATATATAATTTATTAACTTGCCAGGGGACCTAAAGAGAAACAAAGCACATATAATTAGTGAACGTTTGCCATATGATACCTCGCAATCGAGAATCCACCGGCTTAAAAGTATACATTACGTTTCGACAAACTGAAAAGGTAATTAAGACGAGCCGCCGCAAAAGACCATGTGAACTCACCCACTGTGTTGCCATAAATCTGAGGCAATGACGAAACATGGTGGATTACACCTGACAGCATTTGAATACACATTCGATATAATTAATTAATTTTGCCACTGGTTAGTCGAGACGCACAGAAATCCTTTGAAGTAAATAATGCGCTATTCGATCACGAAGTTATTCCCCCGTCTTCCTCAGCACGAAACCGCGACCGCTTTCAGTCAATCAACCTTAATGATCTAGCATTACAGCAAATTATTCAAATGCAACGCTACAGCGAACGAACGATTGTAGTTCCCTTGGTCTTTGTGCTTCGACTTTCAATTTCCTAGACGAAAGTACCTTTCGGTAATCTACCATGTGTATGAAACAGTATTTCTCAAGAACATAAATAGACACAATATTTTATAAACAGGATTCACATTACCTCAGTCACGTAAAAGAGTTTATTCAACCCATTACAGTTTTATCTAGTGCGAGACGGAAATTTGTATTGCGGTTTCAGTGACACGCATTGGTTTCAGTTTTTTTGTGAACAATGATGAACGTACCAAAGCGTAATAAAATCACCTCTTCCTAATTAAAGAAATTAAAAAATTTTTAACTGCTCTGATGTTGATTTCCACTATCGGGGCACTATGATGATCATTATTTTATAGAGCATATAAGCGATGTCGATATCGCTCGTTACTATACACTTGTGGAAGAAAACGTCGTTTCTAATAGCATTATCTACAGACATATGGTGATCGATGCAGCGCGTAGTCTTTCCAGATGGTGGGTCGTATTTCTATTTCAGAATAGTGATAGGCGAGTGACCCGGGCAAAATTCGTACGAGTAACCAATCCACTGCCAATTCGGCCCGCTACCGGAGAGATTAGAGTCATATCAGCCCGCTACCGGAGAGATTAGAGTCATATCTTGCGGTGGTGTAACACACGGTTATATATCTCTGAACGTCGTGCTTCCCGCGTCATTTCATATCCAATCTCGAACCTTCGAGCTCAGTGTTTATTAACGTTTACAAGAAGGTGCTTATTTCTGCTTTGAGCACCCGAATACATACAGCGCGCAGAAACAAGACGTAGCGCCTAGAGAAAAAAAGAGACGACACTTAAAGGTAGGAGGATTCATAAGGATATTTTGAACAACTCAGTTTTTGCTTTTGGGATGATAAAATTTCTTCGTATATCGGAACTTTGAGAGTATCAGGCTGTTAAATCGGTGTGAAGTGGGTGCGTGGCATCTTGCAATATACATTCAGCAAAGGAGGCAGAACAGTCTGTACAACGATCTTAGTCACAGAACTGTCTTGCAATTCCTCAGATCTCACACTGGCCTGAATGCAACTTCCCAGGAGCGCAAAATTATTTCCGCTAAGGTTCAAAAATAAACTGGAGAAGCATAAGTGATGATTAGCATTGTGCGTTGTAAACTTCCAGCGCAAATCAAAAGGAGTTCCAAGCAAGCGTAAGCCGTTAAGGCACAAGTTGGCCTTCCTCACTTAGCTGATGACGTAAACCGCGTGATCAGAGCACGCTAACCATTCATTACCGAGTTTGACGTAAATTTTTTTCTATGTTTAGTCTGCTTTCTAGCCTATTCTTCAGTTCGCCAGCTTCCTGCAAGACTTTGAATTAAAAAAATTGAATTTTTTATGAAAACAACGAGAGTGACTTAACAACGTCACATATAAAGCAATAAATTGGGTTAATGAATGTGTAAGGGTTGCGGATTTAAGCGCGTGATTGCGCCTCTGGTATCAGCTGTTCTGGTTGCATACTAAAAGCCGCTAGTTACCTGAAATTTCTGCACAAAGTCTTTTCATTCCATGAGTCATCGATTCGTGCATGACAAATATAAGCTATTCTGCATAGTTTTCTTTGTTAGCCAGTTTTTTCAACTGAAGTCTGATTTTTGAATGGTGCTTCTCTTTGGACAGGTAAAAAATGTAAGTGCCGGACAGAAATATGGTTGAAAGACGCTGGATTTCGGTGAAAGACTAGGTACCTTCTGGGGCACTCTGAGCCGTTTCGATTACAAAGTGAGGAAGCAGTCTGGCGATACAGCCATAACGTCATTGGTAGGAGCATATTTTAGTTTACAACCCGAAATATATGGCATTTACGGTATGAGTAAACGGAAGACTCCACTACTGATGTTTCGGGCCTCTAACCTAAAAAAAGAAATTTTGAACTATTATGATGTCAAAGAAACCGTTGACACGTGACATACTATACAAAATGCCGTTTCGCTCATTTCATGCACAAATTCGTTGATCAGATTTCATAAATGAATTTCCGAACAATCCTGCGACAGAATAAATCACTGCAGGAAGACCTAAAATTCGTCTGTCTATCGAAAGGAATGAAGAAGTGACGTGAAATTTTCAGCAACGTTCTTGAGTTGCACTTTTTCTATCTGGGGAATGACAGTTTTTCTACCTCTTGAGTCGTGTTACCTTTCCAGCATGAACTGGATCTTTCGAGCACCCAAAAGTGGAACAGTATGCCTAAGGTCAGAAACCAGG